AAGCCCGATGCTGTTGGATTTGAAAGGCATTTTGAAATACGATTTCGAGCGAGGGCGACGAGTTCGCCTGCGCGGCGGATAACGCTCGCTCGCGCTTTATCAGTGGGTGCGCGTTTAGAATGTAGAAATCCTTGGGTTCGAGCGGTCAGGTTGGCGAGCCGCGCGAGGAGGCCGCAGATCCGCGCGCGGCCAGAACGCGGGCCGAACTGGACCCGCCGCGATCGTTGCGTTCGACGCGTGAAAGTAACGCGATTGCGTAAACCGGCTAAAATAACCCAGGACTATTCGGTTTTTACAGTCAGCACACACCGGCCAGGCCGTCCTTGGCTTTCGACGAGCCGCAAAGCTCGCGGGTTTCTCGTTTTTCGTTGGAACGATCGTTACCTGCGGCTGACCGCCGCAGCTCGAATGCTTTTCTCAGCGGGGAAAACGCTATTTCCATGTATTAGACGTTGGACGGTGAATTTACGCATTTAACATTTACTATTAGTTAGTTATGGTGATACGAAGTAAGACACAGATTGGGAGGAAGAGTCGTGAATATTAATAGAGATTAAAAGTTACTCTTCATTACTGTAGTATTTAAGTCCAGGCCGACTTTACCAATTTGACGGGTATGAATCTTCATTATTATTATTTGCTAAAGGTTCTTGTCAATTCTGATTGAAATGAAGGTTATGTATTATAATCCTCTGTTTTAAAATAGTGAATGTTTGTAAATCCAGTGTTCACCCTTTGTCTTGTATCGACTGAAAACGGAGACGAACATTTCCATACTGAAATTGCCAAAAATTGACATTGCTGCGCACGAAACGAGAGGCTATCATTCATAGCGAACAGAAAATCTGCTTGAGTTCTCGAAGATTGTTAATAGCGGAATAAAATTGAACGCGTCTAATCGTGAACGAAATCGTAATCTGTTAATAACTATTTTCATATTTCTCGTAGCTACCTCAATTCTGGAAAGTAGAACAGAAACGATAATTAAATAATACAGAAGAATGTTGTCCGCTATCGTACGTAAAGGGTTGAGCCTGAAACGTTCAGCGGAATCTGAGAAAACCGTAGAAACTCGGCTCGCCGGCAGAATAGTTTCAGGTCTGGCTGGAAAATGTTGCCCGATTCGCCGGAACCGTTCGTGACCACTCCTTTTTCGAAATATCCCGCATGGATATTTTATTCCGCGTTCACTTGGCACGCTCGTTGCCGTCGTTGCTGTCAGCAATAGTCTTCGTAGTTGTAAATAGTCCGCGGACGTTTATGCGAATTCCCATCTTTATAGGCAAGTCCCGGGGAAGCGGTACCACGCACGATTTTGTTCCACGCGGTAATTGTTCCCGGCGATGAAAAAAAATCGCCTGGATTGAACACCGTCGAACCTCGAGGTTGCGTTCTCCTATCGGAATTTCCGCGAATCGTAAACGCGCGGAGATCGGCGGCAGTAGTTGTAACACTTTGTTAATCCCCGGAAAGTGCGGATCTATTCGAAGCACGCGTTTTTCTCGGACAGACAGAAACCGAGAAGCCTTTTACTATTTCGCGAGTGGAACACGAACTCCTTCGACGCGCTGCTGAAAGATGAAAATCGTGTACCGTGACTGAATGGTTACATAAATATGTAACGAATAAAATGCTTAAATAGAATGTGCTGCCATTGCAGCTTTAATATGCCGACTGCCACGAGAATCTTGAGCGTTTCACGTGTCACTTCTCCTTTCGTTCTGAGGTGAATAGAAACAATTGCTGATCATTTGCTACCATAATTCCTAGATTAACTATTATTTTCACTTAATAGTGAACGCTGGGACTACTATAAAGGGCGTTTCGACATTTCTTCTTTCACAATTATTAAGAAGGAACAGTTGATTTAAAATTATTAAATAAGTGAATAGTCCCAAACTAGAATACAAGCAAACTGGAATCTCAATAGATGCTTTCGTACATTTTTATAAAGTACTACAATCGAAATAAATAAATATTAAAATACTCTTTTATAATAAATGGGACAGTCAATTGTACTGCTCGATAGTTCTACAGTTAAACAGTTTTATTTATCAATCATTTTTGTTGCTGCGATTGTTTTCAAGCAATTCGGAAACGCTACTAACCGATGACCACCATGACAGTCGATATACAAAAAAAGAGCCGAACGTTTCGAAAACAACGGCAATCAGCGTCGATCCTTCGGTCTAAAGAAGGCGACGCGACGTCGGACACGTTCGAAGATAAAATGAAAAATGAACTGGAACTGGGGCGAGGTATCATTCTTTTTCTTCGATCCGCGAACGGCGACGAGATCCAGCGTACGTTCGGCGATCGACAACCTTCGCTCGACGCGAGCGCGGATCGCGGTGTCGAAGGCACGCGAAGATAGAGCGGCACCGCGCCAAATGGGAATATCTCAATTGCCGCACTCGCGTAGATTAAAATTCCTCCGTTGAACCGTTTCCGTCGACTTTGTCTTACTCTCTTTCGCGAGGCGGGCGATAAATGTGGAATCAACATTCTAGAAAATGCAGATGAGTCCACGGCCGACGGTTTTTCTCCGTTCGAACAAGGATCGTCTTCACGAAAATCCGGTTCGAACATACCGAATAGTGAGATAACGCTTCTGTGTGGTCGTGACGTTTTTCTATTACCAACCAAGAAATAAAAATAAAGATATGTGATTGGCAAAAGTAAATAAGTCGATGGGTCAAATTTTTTAATCCGTCATACAAGCAATTCCCGTTCTTCAAATTTGAAGAAAATTGTTCCTTCTTGTTGGGGACATCTTCGGAGAATAATATGTTCAAGATATTGCTAAATATTTATTTGATAAATAATTACGTATACGAATACAACTTGAACGTACCTACATTAAAGGGAAGTATTACTAGTAAAACGACGAAAAATAGGTTAAATACTCTAATACTTCAAGCGTTGTCTCCCAAAAATGGTAGCATTCTATGTTTTCCTTCTATATTTGTCGAATACAACAGTAGAACCTAGTTTTTGATAAGACCTCATTGAAGAATCACTATATTGTAATAAAAATGTCGACGATCTTTGAACTCCTGCAACTGGATAATGAAAGGTCGCACAACGTTCCGCTCGGCCCGTTATAAAATGCGAAGCTTCCACTTTCGCCTTCCACGAGCGATTTTTTCCTACGATGTTTTTGCGTCGCCTGGCATTTAAACGGTTAAACGGAGGCCGTCCAGTGTTATCGGGATCGATATTTCATTCGATCGTTTCCCCTCTCCGCCGAAATATTCAACGGCGCGTTGGAAACGAGCGGATCGGTCCCGGGCGACGAGGACGCGTTACAACACACACCGCCGCGCCGGGCCGAGCGCACGCGAGCGTGAACGCGCGCGAACTTTTACGCACGACCGCTGAATCCGCTCGGGCCGAGGCGAATCGCCGATCCCCGGTCAGATCGACCGCCATTATCTTTCGAAATAAAACGGATTCCTTCGATTCTAGGTGCCCGATCGAGTCTAGAATCTAATCTTCTAGCAATAAACGCGCGATCGATCGAATCGCGAACACGGATTTCCGAAAGCCGCGATCGTAGCTATGACCTTTCGACACGAATGAGTCTCTAGAACAGTAATTTCTACACATCCTACATAATCGTTAATACTCAGATATCATTGGTACCTAACGGAAAGGAAAGACATTTATAAAAGTAAATACATATAAGGAATATATTCATAAAATCGAATGCATATAAGAAAAATAGTTGAATATAGGTCTCTGCGCAAGATTCGACATTCTAGTAAAAACAATTGAAAATATCGATATCTAACAATCTAAATGAGATCGGGCCATCTCACCCGGAATTACCCTGTGCAAGGTGTTTCGCCTGATGTCCAGGTCTGCCCGGGGACATCGATGCCACGGACAGAGGAACTGGTTGCAATGAAACGAAACGTTTGATATTCGAGTTCCATTAAACGAGTCTGGCGACGACCGATCTTGCCGCACGGTGGTCGTTTCAGATTTTATAGTTCGGCTACGCTTCGACAGCCGAGGGAATCCTCGTTCCACGGTGGAATTTCGTTCAACTGGTCTTCGGTTAGCAAGGCCACCGCATTCGGTTCCAAATACACGAAATCGTCGCTGGCTTCTTGTTAGGACTCCATTTATCCGAATCCATCGGAAGATAAGATAATTCTGTTAATTGGATCATTCGGATCCAGCTCTCCCTTCCATTATCATTGATTAGCGTCGAACGGCAGCTTATATTCGATGATTGCATGCAGGGTAGATATTCGATAAACCGACTACCACTTCGAATATAGTTGCGATAAACATATTAATGAAGTTCTGTCATATGAAAGCTGAATAATCGAGAATAACAAGCGATAACGAATGCAGAAGAAGCAAGCAGACTATTAGCTCGGATAAGTGTCCATTATCTAGACGACTTAACGCATTACTTACCGAATGATCGAACGTTGAATTAAGCTTGAATTCTTCTGTGTACCAAAGCTTTTGACTGTATCTTAGAGACGAGGGGAATGGAAGAATTTACGTTATCACTTATTTCTCTACAATATCAATGAACATTAACAGGATCTGTCATAAAAATTCATCTAAATAATTGTAAGCCGTTAAAAAAATACGGAACATTGAACATTTAAAATTTTGGGGAACCTGTTTATAAACAACCTTAGTTAAACACTGCTGCCGTAAAATCATTAACCAACTGATACGTGACGCATTAATTGAGTTGCTCGGACGCCAATGCAGTTAAGTCCATTCTTTGATATTCCCTGATCTTTGTCAATTTTAATGGAAAAAATAATATATTTTGTCGCGGAGCCTACCTTTTGAAAAAGGACTTGACACATTTTTCTCAAATGAGTACAAAGCAATGTATCAAGAAACATCAATTTCCTCAATTTTTCTTTTCTGAATTTAACCGCATTGGTTTCTGAGTGACTCAATTACTAAGAGCGTCACGTCTCCGTCGAATACCGGCCGTAACGCAGTTCCCTGTTTGATTCCAGAGACGGTAAATGGTAGGATGGACAACTGCGGAGGCGGTCAGCGCCTGCCCCCGGACGGGGACGAATTTCCAGCGGCGTACCAGGAGTTCGGCGGGAACAGTCAGCAGTACCGATTCGTGACGGCGGCCGGCGCGACGGCGAGGGCGTCGACGATGACCGCGAACGGCGGCCTCGTGTGCAACGACACCGAGGCGTTCATCGGCACGGAGAGCTTCAAGCTGATCGACGGGAACGTGGTGACCACCGCGAGCATAATCCTGCCGGACAACCGGGTCGGGCTGTCGGGCGTGGAGAACGCGGGCAAAATTGGCGGCCTGTCGAACAACGAGATAAACGGCAAGAAGGGGAGCGTCGACGGCGTCTGTCAAGAGTCTGCCAGGGAGAGCCGCGTGAACGACACCAAGCCGTACGCGTCAGACAGCTTCGCGAAGAAAGCAACGTCCGTGACCAACTACGCCGGCTACGGGAACCAGGGTAACGGTAATGTACTGCTGTCGGAGAAGAAGGTTGAAATCACCGGATACTATCACAAAGACACGCCGCCGCCGGTTATTGAGGAGCCGCAGGACCACGGGGAGAAGGAGGCGTTGGACACGCCGCCGCCTCTGCCGTTAACGGGTAAGGATTCATCCGCGTTTCTCCGCTCTCCCGGATCTCTTCGCCGCGCTTTCCGATCGTACGCGACACGCACGCGTCGGGTTAACCGGAACGGAGGCGTCGCGGACGTTGCTTGCCGTGACTGTTTCGCTGAGAACGATCCGCTGAGATTGAAGTTGACAAGTTCGATGCTGCGTGTACTCGTATAGGGATTATTTTTGGGAAAGGCATGCAATGATACAAGGGTGAAAACGGAACTAGCAGTGTTGATGATAAAATAGGTTTGTTAATGAATAGAAGTAGAGTGTGGTAAAAGGGTAGATGGGTGATGGTGTTCATTTAATTGCTGAATCGTAGAATACCCTCTGTTAGTTTCGACAACTACCCTTATAGACCTCGCATAGTCTCTTGCTTTTCTTGCCACGCAGAGCACTACGAAGAAACGAACCAAGGTTTTACCAAATATCTAGCACCGCTCATTCTTTAAATCATAGAGTCCGCTTTGACCGAAACTGAACATTCGCTCGGACTGAGAGTTTTACACTCGTTTATATCAGTACAATTTCTATCGACTAATCATTATTGTTACTTACGCTAAGTACCGAACAAGAAGGTAATATTAATGGTAACGACCTGTGCTTTGTCCGTCAGGTCCACCCAAGATAGAGACGACCAGTGTGTACTCGAGAAGCGTGTCGAACTTGGAGCCGCCTCAGAGGAAGTTCTCGTTGAACGGAGAGCTCTGGAGGCAAGATGACAAGTCGGAGAGGTCTGTCAGGGACAAAATCGCGATGTTCTCTTCACAGAGCAGCCTGGATGGGCCCCTGTTCCCGAACTCAATCACTGTGACAGCAGCGACGAGCAATGGCAGGAGGCTGTCTAAGTACAAGTCCACGGAGGACGTATGTAGCGACGAGAAGACTCCTGGACAGAAAGAAAGGGCGTCCTTCTTCGCGGACAGGACGCAGAGTTCCTTCGACTTGACCGATTCCGGGAGAAACGTTGGTCAAGAGACTGGAAGAAAGTATGGACAAAGGCTGCCCGGTCTGCCCCAGAGTCCCTCGTTGGCGCCTGCAACGGTTCACGCGTCAAAAACGTTCCCCGTGGTGCCGCCCAAGCCCGTCATCTCTTCGACCACGCCACTGATCAGCTCGTACGAGAAAGCCTCGACGACCAAAGCTTCGATGAAGAGTTACGCGACGCCGGCGAGCGATTCGCAGAGCAACGCGCCGCAGGCAAATCTCGGCAATCATCAGAATTCCTCGAGCGTGCCGCCGAAACCAGCCGCGACGTCCGCGCTGACCCGTGCGACCAGTTTCTCCGGGTCGACGCCGTACCTCCAGGACCGAAGCGCGGCCTGCAACGAGCTGTTCGTCAGCTCGCAGATCGCCAGGACGAACTCCCTGGCGTCTACGTTCCGCAGACCCAGCGAGGACATTAGGAGGACCAGCCTGAACCAACTGATCGAGCAGAGAAGGCGGTCGATATCCAAACTTAGGGGGTTGGTCATTCCGGAGAAGGAAGCCATACCCATCGAAGCGCCAATCGTTGATCTGCCTGAGATCAAATCCCGGGATTCCATACTGTTGCATCAGGTAAACGAATCGAAGAAGATGTTAACAGCAATAGCTGTTTGACGATCTGCAAGGAGAACTTCTCGTTCGATTGCTCACGGAGAGTTAGTTTATTGCGTTGTATATTGATTGTTCTTGAATATAAAAACTAGCTGAATCAATGAGAATCACATTTCAGCTCCTAAATGTTACAATTTCAGTAAGAATCCTCTGGGCTTGTTTCAGATACCGAAAGCCAACATACAGGACAAGTGGGGTTCCCAAAGCTCCCTGGCCAGTAACGCTAGTACGGCTAGCGTACCGCTGAAAGCGACGACGTCTTTCAAGATGCCAGCGCCTCAGATACACTCCAAGTACTCCCCTGCGTTCAAAAGAAAGAGCCTCGCAGTGTACGGCACGTCCTCGAACAACAGTCCTCTAAACGGTACGGCGAAGTCCTCTCAGGCATCGTCAACAGCGACGGCAACAGCGACGACAACATCAACGCCGACCATATCCGAGCCGCCCAAGAGCCTGGAGAGCATCTGCAGTCCGACCCGAAGCGACTACAGCTTCGAGTTCGCTTCGACGGCCAGTTCTCCCGAAGGGCTACGCAGTAGACCGAAAACCGTGCAGAGGAAGACACGGATGGAGTACGATGACTCGGACAACGACTCTGCGGTCAGCAGCTCGCAGAGTAGCATCTCGCGAGGCTTCAGCCCGCCGATGTCGCCGGTTCCATCGGAACGGTCCACCGTTTCGTCCGAAAGATCTTACATATCCGCGGAGACCAATTACCGGCACCGGGCCCTCATCATAGACAGTCCCACCAGGCAATATGGTAGAGAGTCGAGCGGCGTAGATTACACCCGGTCGAGTATTGTGAACGAGAGGACGTTCGTTTCCGAGCGATCGTCTTCCAGCAGCAGCAGCTCGGACCCTAGATCCCCGCAGCCAGTCGAATCAAACGCGAGAGCCTCGCAGATACCACAAAGGCAGCTGAAACGATCGAACAGCACCGACACCAACTGCAGCACGTCGTCGACCCTAACTTCCGGTTCGCAGGCAAGCGCGGAATCGTTATCCAGGCGAGTGCTAAAGCCGCAGAGCGTGGAGGCGATCAATCGGAAAAACATCTTAGCCAGCGCCAGGTGTCGGAGCGGAAGGGACCTAAACGGCTCACCGCTGATACAAAGGAAGTTCCCCGAGGAGGATCATCGCGGAGTCATCGAGAACGGCGACGATCGCCAGAAGAGTCGGGTCAAGAACGTGGCCCCGAGTCCGCAGGACGTCAAAATCGCTTACATAGAGGTAACGGACTCGTTTACGGAGGACGGTGACAGTTTCCCGAAGGAGGAAGAAGAACCAAAACTGCCACCGAAAAGAAGCGTCCCGCCTCCAGTCGCACGACCTCCTAAATCCGAACTCTTAGAGCCTTCGAACGACCTGAAGATGTGGGTGCGCACGGAAGTCAAAGCGATGGCCAGATCGGCGGAACTGAAAGCCGCTAAGAAGATCGAGAAGAAACCGGAACCAGTTCCTGAAACAGTCACCCTGAAACACAAAGCCGTTGTCGATGAACAGCAACGTGGTTCCGTTGACCTGCCATCGGGAAATAGAAACACCAACAGCATCATCGATACCAGTGCAACGGAGATCCCGAAGCAGAGAAGCAGACCTAGCGAGTCTTCTAAGAAGCTCCCCGAAGATCAGAACGATCTGCTGACTATTCTGACAACGAAGAGCAGGTCCAGATCGGCAATCCACGTGGACGATGGCAGTTTCGGTAGATCCAAGAGCCAGATGAGCCTAGAAGACATTCTAAGCGCGAAGGCTGAGACGAAACTGTCCCGAGCGCAGAGTATCGAGGGAAGAGCCGACAAGAGTCCCATCGTTCATGCCGGAGGTCAGAACAAGTTCCTCTGGGAGCCGAAGGAGAGCCGATACGGTAGGAGGAGCTCAACGAATTCGAACGATTCCTGGAGCGACGACAAGTCGTTTGTGTCGAAGATACCAACGCTAGGGAAGTCGCGGCATGCCGACAACACCGAGGACACGATCGAAGCGGAGAAATCGAAGATCGTGTCAAAGATACCGACCACAAGAAGCCTGAACCGACGAAGCGCGAGCGTGACCGACATGAAGAAAGCTTTGGAAAAGATGGAGGCCACGTCGTGCACGCATCAGGGATCTGGGACGGCTCACAATCGGTTCCCGAGTTTGGACAGCAGCGTGGACGAGAATCTGTCGCCTGTAGGAACGGACGTAGACACGGACAGATGTTGCAGTGAGCAGTTCGGCAGCATCAGCTCGCTGGCCAGTAGCACCAGCTTGATCTCGCAGCAGGAGCTGGCGCAGCTGGTGGAAGAGGCGAGTCTCGAAGAGGCTAGGGGTGCTCACGACGTAGTTGTCGTACTGCTGCACAAGGAGAACCCCGCGGGCAGCGTCGGGATCACATTGGCAGGCGGAGCCGATTGTGAAGTCAAGGAGATCACGGTGCATAGAGTATTGGCGCATTCCATAGCGGACAGAGATGGCAGGGTGCAAAGGGGAGACAGAATCCTTAGCATAAACGGAAGAAGCACGCGCGGACTTACGCACAGGGAGAGCTTATCGGTGCTCAAGCAGCCTAGGTCAGAGGTCGTATTGGTCGTCTCGCGTGCCAGGAGCGAAGATGGGGGCAGATTAAGGTCGCGGACCGCGAGCGTCGAAACTATCATCGAAGGTGAGGGAACAATGATCGCTAGGCTGCGAATTTTTATGCAGACGGTAGTCTAATATTTGTTTAATTTGTAACAAACCCCATCGTACTCGCGTATCCTCAAAACATTTCGGAAAAAGATAATCCGAATGTTCGCATTGTAGATGAGTTCATCAATGTTCGAATGACAGTAATATAATACCAGGACACACCTTAAACTCGTAAACTTCAACAATGATAACCTTAAACAGAAAAATGATAACCTGTCTGCTGGTTTTATACATTTATTGAATTTTAGATTTTCAGGCATTGAATAATGTTTAACAGACTTCGATGGAATCTTGATTTGAAATTTTATTTATGATCTGTTTATAATAATAATTATTATTATTATTATTATCGTTAATCGTTCCTCATGAATGTCCATATGATCGTAAAGTTACTCTTTGATACTGGATCTTCGGGAAAATTGAAAGCATTGTTTTGTTTTTTCTTGTTCAAAGGATTCGAGACGAATGGTGTCGCAGAGGATACTGCTTGGGGGCCGCCCTCGGTTGTAGCAGTATACAAGGATGGAGCTGGTTTAGGATTCAGTCTCGAGGGTGGTAGAGACAGCCCCCTCGGGGATAGGCCATTGGTGATTAAGAAAATATTTACCGGTAGGTTTCTAAATTTCGTCGTTATAATCAATTGGGATAGAGGGTTTCAAGCTTTTGTATGACACTGCAGAAAATAAGTTTTGTGATACGAACCAATTCAGGTAAATTCTTTCTATTTAATCCTATCCAGTATATTTAGTTCGGTAACTGCAGCTTGGACAGACCCTGGATTAGCGTTAACGAATTGAACAACTGTTATAGGAGGTGCTGCCGAGAAAACAGGTGCTTTAAAGGCAGGGGACCAATTATTAGAAGTGAATGGGAACGATGTGACTCGAATGTCGAGGATCGAGGCGTGGTCTCTCATGAAGAAATTACACGACGGCGAAGTAAACCTCCTAGTCAGGCACCCTGCCACCAAATCATCGTGAATGATAGTCAATTAAAAGGAACATGTCGTGGTGGGACCCCGTGGAACGCTATTGAGAGGATGAAATGTGTGTTGTGAATCTGCCCGACCGTTGAACGAAAACACTTGTGAAGGTAGTGAACAAACAGCAACGAAGTTTGACCCCGTAAAATTAGATGATACAATACATAATTGTAGGTATCCACGTTCAATCTTATGTTCAACGTTTTGTTCTCCCACGAGCGATTGGCTCGTCCCATCTTATAATGTTCAATGATAACGAATGTTCTGTTGAATCGTTACATAGGATTTGCATATCGTGCTTATATAATGAGGTATTATTGTTACATAACTTTGTTTGGATACCTCCATTTCTGGAGAGATTCTTTTTTTATACTCTTCGTTCTGTTGTGGTATCCGTTGACTATAATTTATATACCTTAGCGTTGTTTCGAATACGGTCGGATTGACATAAAAGAAGGAATGCTTTTCCTAATTAGCTGGTAACCGTAATGGAAGAGGCAACGTGAGACACATGTTTCTGTCTTACAATTTTGTGTAATACGAATCGTTACGAGCTGAACGGACGGAGAGAAATTTTGTAAATAAGATTAACATGCGCCAAGAATTCGAGATCCAATGGGTATCTAGAAAAATGTTACATATAATATAAAAAAAAGAGAATGGAAGAAAGAAATGTTAATATAACGCGTTACATTTAATGGTTTATTTAATTGTAGACTGACATTCGTTTCTAGATTTGCGTTTGTTAAAAATCGTACTGTGATATGTATGTGTGTTAATATAAAACTAACAAGCGTTAATAAGCAGAAAACGACTCGCAATAACAATATATTTTAATCTAACAAATATTTACGAGACATTCGATTAATCGCTTGATTCTTTAACGTTACATATGCTTCCTCCTCTCCCCCTCCTACATGTTTTCTATACAAGGATTCAAATGCCGCAATGTAACTTTTGTCGATAATAAATGATACAATCGAATAGCACGTGTGTTGGTGTGTAATTCTTTTTTCATTTAATTAAATCCCAATTCACATTCAAGGTAACTTTCAGGACAGATGACAAACTAATCTGTACACTTTTGTAAACACATAAAATTCTTATTTCTACGCATTTAGTAGACATTAATTTTGTTTATTATGAAACTTACAAAAGTGGTTAAACAGACAAAATTAATACCAATAATATTTCTTTGCTATACGATCCTCCTTGATACCCATTTTCTCCATAATGTCCATCTCAAATGTTTTTAAAGATGCCTAAATAACAAATAATGTATACTTAATATCAATGATACAGATTTAATTAAGTACATTATTTACATACCACAAATGTTTCTTCCATTACATCATCTTTCTTTGTATCTTTTGGATGTTCAAAATAGGTCTTAGGATCTTTATAATCTATTGTTTCTTTAGCGGTTTCTGGCATCGGAATAATTCTGCCAGTTCTGCTAGAAACTCTTACATACTCACCTTCCTCTGTATACTTCCATTCAATAGGAGTACCTTTCCTAACATAAATACATACAAATTTGTGCTTTACTTGCACTTTACATAACATCTATATAATGCTTGTTTTTTATATAATATTTACAGATCAAATGGATCGACCAATTGCACTTGAGTTGTAACTAACAGCGGCTGCTCTACACGAAGAAAAGTTCCAGGATAATTTTTAGTTTTTCCTATGCACTGTACTTTTGTATTCAGCCCTTCGACAATAACCCAATTCCTTTCCTGTATAATATCCATTACTAAACCTTGTTTTCCTTTGTCAGGACCAACTAATATTTCTACCTGAAAATAAAACATTTTTAAATACATTACACTAAAATTCACTTAAAAATCATAGATATAATTGATCAAAAATCTTGAACATCGATAACTTGTTGTATAAATTAAATTACTTTCATACATGTTTTTCTTTTAATAATAACTTTAAACATTAAGAAGATATTAGCTAGAAAAATAATAAGACATGATTCAAGGTTCCAACCAAGTATGTGCATGTAACATTACACGATCTCCACGAAAGAAGCTCCAATCTTTTATGGGTTCAACATGAATCATGGGTTTCCTCGGGGGATGTACATGTTCCACCTGAAACTCCTGTGTCCATGGTCGATGAATGGAGAAATGAAATTTTTTAGTTTTTATTGTACGCTGAAGGTACTGAGGTTTCCCACGTGGTGTTCTCCAAAAAACCTACACACAAATTAAATTATTAATGAAAAAATATGTATAAATAATTGTAATACATGTTACTTAAATTACTGTACCCGTTCTGTAACACGATTTATATAACTATCTGGTAAATTCGAATATACTTTAGACCAATGTTTCATTTTTGTAAATAAGGTATTTGTGAGCCTCATTATGTGTAATTATAGATTTAAATTAAACTTAGAAAATTTTATTCTTTAAAAATTCCAATCACAAACACAGAATTAACAACCGACGTTCTTAAAATGCACAAAGATACACACTTAATCAATAAAATTGGTACGGCTCATCACGTCATAGATGGCAACATAGTCTAACTGTTGAAAAGTAAATATATGCACATGTATGTATAAATACACTGCGTTTTTAGGTGAACAATTTTGTAAAATATATAAATATATCGTTTACAATTTGCGCATCTTAAATGTTTAATGACTTCTCTCATAGTGTTTACAAAAATTTGTTCGAAACATTTAACCGATTACAGTACCATCTAGTGTGATCTGCACAATATCAAAATAATTTTCTATTGCAACGTTAACTTTGTAGCATACATGTTCAGTGATTTTGTATTCGAAAAAATTTTGTTTTAAATCCATATTTAAATGGATACATTACTTACGAACACACATCTGTTGATTTAGACGTTCTGATGATTATACTGCACTAGTCTATTAATATTCCCTAAGATTTATATTTTATTCCATACTGTATATGTTTAAATATGTTAGGTTGGGTAATTGATCTACGTGATCTTTGTTAGCAATGAAATTGAACTTAAACATGTATAAAATGATGTCTTTAACAATTAAAAAATGTGCTCCTTGTTTGCAAATACGACAATTTGCAAACCTTATTTGTGACAAAAATCGAGTCGATAAAAAAAGTTTCAATAGTTTAATAAATTACACATATTTAAATTATAGTAGCTTGATAAATCCAAAACATAAAACATACTACCGACCATTCTATGATAATGTTCGGATGATGTCTAAAGAATCTCGTCTTCCACCACTAATGAACGTTCCATTTATTTTGCGTCGTCCATTACTTTCTCCCTATTATTCATTTGTATTTTTAAAACAAGTCAGAGAAGAAATAGACCGAACATTTAGTCTTTTAGAGTTTAGAACTGGAGCAGCACAGGTATGATATTTTTATCAATTTTTTAATGCATTTAATATAAAATCAACAGTAGTAAAATAATTATTTAAGTGAAAAACAATTTTCTATCTGGTTAAATTGTTAATTAAATACGTTTATACTTTATTTCAAAATAAATCTATCAGATAAAAGGTTATATCTTTTTCATAGGCAGTTGTGGTAGTATCAAGTGCATTAGCTTCACGAAATTATGAAGCATTAACTGATCTTATAGAACATCACACATTGGAAAAACTAATTGGAAGAGTTAATGCATTGACAGAGTCACAAAGAGAACTATTAATTATAAAAGACCAGGTTTCATTAGCTTGTTGTAATATGAATGTTACAAAAAGCGGAACAGGTGATACAACTTAACTATTAAAATTATTGTATATACCTCAATTTCAGGTTTCAACACTCTTAATGTTATATATTAATTTATTATAGATAACGTTAATATTCAGATAACAGTACTAGGTTATTATATGCATATCACGCTTGATTTTTCTTCCTCGCTACCAGACATGCACGTACTTCTGTACAACTACACATTTCAAAGGACTTATAAAGATGGTGAAGGAGGACCTTGGATAATAACAATGGCAAATCATTGTTCGCAAGAGTAATTTAATGATTGAATGATTTTATTCAATTGTATCTTCCATATGATAACCAATGGTATTGTTTTTTCCTTATAAAATGGTATAATAAAAATATCAGTATATGTACATTCAAAAATTTATAAGTTTTAGTAAAGGGGATACATAATTTCTAATATTTAATAATGTAGCACCAATAGGTCTTCCATGTTCAAATACAGAGATAACTATTGGTCCCTGTAACAAATCATAATTATGAAAGAGTATTGGTTATGAACATGATTGTAGGAAAGTATAAATACCTCATTGATTTGAGGATTGTGAATCCAACATTCATTTGTATTTTGATCTTGATATAAATTATTTTTCTTTGCAGGAACTAAATTATAGAAGTTGATTTTCAAGTGTTCCAAATTAGATAGTTTAATTTTTATTATATTTAAATATGGTTCCATATTCCATATGGTAACTTTTCCATGTATATTTGCTTGTTTAAAACTGATATCAAATGTCACTGTTGGAAATGAAGTAAGTTCATTGAAATAGCAAATGGCAGCTGGGAGATTTCCTGCAATATTTTAATATGTAAAAGTAGAACTAACAATTTACATATATTAAAAAATAGAGGTATACTTTTATAAATAGCATCAGTTAGACGGAATGGTTTTGTAATTGATGAAGCAAACATTGGGATTTGATTCCGTTCCTTGCCTTCGAAACAATTATCAATAGCTATAATTACAAAGATTATTGTTAAATAATAATACATATATGGTAATATATTAACATACCTTTTCCTACTTCTTCAAATAATTTTGTAACTTGTATGTCCTTGGTAATATATTTACAAAGATGAGTTATGTACAAACCATATTGACTGTTTAATTTTTCATAACTAGGTCGATAACTAGATGTAGAATATGCTTGAATTAAATTTCGAAGATTTTTCTTACTTTTATATTCAATAACAACTGGTAATTCATTATAAATTACAGAATTAAAATTCCTGAAAGTAAGGAAATTAAGGAAATACAGGAATAATCAAATACTTTTAAATAACCAAAGGTAACTTACTTTGAAGGTAATGTTTGACACATATCTAAAATAATAATTAATAACTCAGGATCATTTTGAAGGAATGATGCTAATAATTCACTTTCACATATAGCATCTTTCCTCAAATATACTGTTGGAGTATCTGTTGCAAGTATATAACTTTCTTGCATCTTGAAACCATGTCCAGCAAAATAGAATAAACCTGTTGAAGGTAAACAATTAATTAACTTTCCATTTTTCCAAACTTTCATATAATTTGTTCATCTTACCATAAACACCCTCAACTAAAGCTTTGCTAAATAATTCTATTGCATTTCTTATTTGTTTTATTGTTAAATTCATCAAACATATCACTTTAAAACCAATTTCTTTAAGAAGTTTAGCAATATATGCACCATCATTTTTAGGGGTTAAAAGGCATTCATGATTATCATAATCTCCATTTGCAATAATTAAAGCTGTTTTTGCAACTGCTTTTAGCTTGGGAAGATACATCTATTAAGTAATATAACCGAATTATTAAAATATAGTATATTAAGAAGAAATTGCAGTTTATATGTATTAGTCATATACATCTAGGTATTACCATTATATGAGTTCTTTGAGTATAAATTTCACCAACATCATTATAGACATGACAATAATATTTTCCTTCATGTTTTGAATTGAATTTTTTTATCTGAAATTACGAATACTTTAATTCATGAGTTAACCATGTACAATAAGATTAAAAAATTTCATCACTTTGTTTACATGCAATATGTTAGATGTTTCTCCTTCTAATTTAGTATTATCATGGAACCACTGATATTGTGGCTCAGGATTGCCACTAGCTTTACAATGAATCGTAAAATTTTCTCCTTCTTTGACTTCTAAAATTGGTTGCGGTTGTTCTTCTATTATTACAGGTGTAGGAAATATATGTACATTGACAGTTTTTGAAATTAAGCTAGATATAACAGTTCCATCATGTTTAATCTGGGATACTTTGCATTTGTATTCTCCTATTTGGGAAATACTTTACAACATATGAAATAAAATTTATTACAGAATTAAAGACTTGTTAAAGACGTTAACATGATGTACCTTGTGATGACAATATCTAATTTTCCAGAATCACAATGTTGCAATGCCATATTTCCATGGTACCACATGTAACTTGGAGGAGGCATTCCTATTGCCTTACAAAATAATTGAAGATTTTGTCCAAATGATATTTTTAAAGTATCACTTTGTAATTGTTCCGTTGGATGCATAATAATTTGCAAGGGTTCTAAAAGTATTACAAATAAGACATTTATTGTGCTAAAAGAAATTGTATGCATAAATTGATATACCTGGATGGGATATAATGGAAAGAGCATTGTGCAATCCACAATCATGTAATAACATACGTAATATTTCAACAGTACACATTTTAACATTTAATTCGAAAAGTAATCTTTCTCCTGGAGAATTACACAATTCTTTTATTTCCTTCAAAGATTGTATCCATGAAGTACTGTATTGAAAATCATAGAAAGATGAAAAATTATTAATAATCTACTTTCTTATTGTGCAAGTATAAACAGTTCTTCATTACCATTGATATTGGAGATGTTCAGCTACATAATTTGCTAAGGTTATCCATGCTTCATCTTTATTGAGTGCATTAACTAAATCTTTGTATACATTTGCAGGTAAACATTCAATATAAGCGTTTGCATCGATCTGTGACATTTTTGATACTGTCAAATATTAAATATGCTTTGTATTTTCAATGAAAATTGCTTTAAGATTGATTTGTTGTTTTTCCACTTTCATTTTACGATTATCAAATCAAACGGTTAACATATATAATGCATTTTTATTCGAGAAATATTCTTTTGACATTTCTTAAATTTTCCTTGATGTGAACAAGGAAAACCTATAACTATCAAAGTTATAATACTTGATTCAGAGTTATACATATCTTTCTCGATCGATACAGTAGAACATACGATCGAATGAAATGTTAATGAAATGTATAATCTGATACATATGAAATATATTAATTCGTTTATTTTTAACCTTCTGAAATCTTTTACAGGTAAGGTAAGTTAATTTATTATTCATTTTTTAATAGCCTAAAAAATCATATCTTTAACAGATGTATACGGATGAATTATAACCTACGTAACAACCTACAACATTCTATATGCAGTACAATTAAACTTCAATTTATTTCTAATAAAGCTGGTTAAAAAAACAATTTCATTGAATATGAAAAAGAAATTCATTTCCACAAATTCTTATAAAAAAAAATCCAGATGCAAATTCACTAAAGGAAAAATAACAATAAAGCAATTGAGAAACAAACAATACCTTTCGTTTTTGATAAAGTTTAATAAAGCGAGCTTGCGCTTTATAAACGAGGGTATTTTTAATCTGTTTTATCCACCGTGCGGAATGACTGCGACAAATAGGCAAAAGAGGCTAGCTTTTCGGAACACCCCGGAAAAGTATCGTTGGTTTTTTATTGCGGGTGCGACACAGTGGTGGGGGACCGTTGCAACCAATAGGCCCGCGAAAAGCGGCTCCTGCGCGATGCGCGTGGCGCGCTGCGCCGCATAATCTTGCGTATCAGTGATCGGCAGTGCCATCCAGAAGGCAGTGGGTTACGGGTTCTATCGTGTGGCGTGTAAATTAGCGTAACCCTTATCGGTGCGATCGGTGGGAAAAAGGGAAACGCGCGTGCCAGTAACCTGAGGTGCGCCACGGGCTAGTGGGTGCACGGATAGAACTCGCGAGTGTCGGGGAAATCTTGTGGCTTAAGCCATCATGGCGAATCCACGAAAATTCAGTGACAAGATCGCGCTGCACAAACAGAAGGAGGCACAAGAGAGAGCAGCGTTCGAGGCGATCATGCGAGAGGTTTCGGACGTCACAAGCAGAGTAAGGAAATCTCAGTAGGTCCTTGCCATTGAAAGGGACATGTGTGGTATGCTGCACTATCCTCGGCTCAGATGTTAAGAACGTAAACAACAACGAGTGCTCTCCCTCTCTCTTTCTCTATCTCTCTTTAGCTCCCCTTCCCTCCAGGTCTCCTTGTTGCGCTGTGGTTGTTCAGCTATGTATACATATCTATCTCTGTGCGGATTGTGACTTGGTATCCTCGATGTACGAACGTGCGTGTATACATGAGTGCGTGGCTGGGTTTACACACTGTACGTTCCTATTCGAACGCACACCATACAACTACCTACGGGTACGTGCTCGCGATGTCTCTCTGTTTTTATCTTTCTCGCTCCCTCTTATCCGTCACCGTCGCAGTAGTCATGATCCATGCTCGTCGTAGTCCGTCGTCATCGTCGTATCGCCGCTCTGTCCATGTGTGCGTCTACATGCTTCTCTCGGTCCTGCTACGCGTGTAGGGAACGTATGAATACATGTATACGCGTGGAAACGGTTATATACGTTGTTCGTTCGGTGTACTCTATGCCGAACGTGTTGTGCGCTTGTCCGCCCGCCACCGTCCGTCCTGTAAGTTCCTAATAAATGTAGACGTGTGCAAACGATCAACGATTTCGTTCTATCCCTCTGACATATTCGAGAATCGACCACTGTGCGATCGTTGTTTCCTTTTCTTGTGAAAAAATCGAATTCTCTCGATTTCATGGTCGAAACGTAGTGAACAACAAATCGCCTATTTACCGATAGCAAAATTATTCGTATTCCTCGAGAAGTTATTCCGCCTTCTAGAGGAAAAGTGTCAGCGCACACGATATCCGAAGCGATCGTGTTTTTCTATTAACCGCGACATACTTCGCTGTCCACGATCGATTCGGACCGAATGAACTGTTGCTCGTCGAAAATGTGCGATCCGTTCGATTCTCTTTTTCTTTCTCTCTTTTTTTTCTTTCTCTCGTTCACCGGCTCTCGAGGCATTTCCACTGACTGCGAGTGCCAGTCAGGTTGGATCCACGGTATGCCCAGTAGCACTGAACGCGTGTATATATACTTTTTCTTGCTTCCCAACGGAACTGTTTAACCCCTTGCCATACAACGACGAGTGAGACCCGCGATGAAGATTTCTAGATTAATTTAACGAAACTCAGTGTTGTTCATTTCCCACGGATCGAAGCAAAAAATTATTTTGCTATCATCAATGAATTATCTTCAAATGAAATTTCCACTTAACCCTTTGCACTCCGAATTTTTTTTTTGGATCTTTTCCTCGATAATTGTATTATTATGATATTTTATTTGAAATGCACTTTGAAAAATAGTTTGTAGAGAGCAGTGTAAACGATTCTTCTTACTAATAGTATTGAAAATAACATAATAATATAATCTATTTTAAAAATATCTTTTCAAAGAATCACATCTGTGAATAAAACTGAGTCACGCTCGACATAAGAGTGCAAAGGGTTAAAGTAGAACAGAACATTTTATCATATTTCTTCCAAATTGTTGCATAGTAAAATGCGACACGAGCTCAGTAGCGAAAGTAAATAATACGCCACGGGGTTAAACTGTGTCTTTGAGAATCACGTGTCTCGCACGCTCGGTTCTCCGATTCGAGTCCAGTTTAAATGGGTTTTGCTCGGACGAGAAAGGAACAGGTTGCCGCTGACTCTTAAGTTTCCACTGTGTACCGGTAGAGACGGGCCCGTTAGCCGATCGGTTATTAGCTTGCTTATATGGTAACAGTATCCGGATTTGCGAAACTCCGATCCGGGACCAAATCGTTTATGAGCCGTTCATTGGTCGAATCGATTAATTCTCCAAGAAAAATGATATTGCAGAGAAAGTGATGCAATAGTATAAATTGAATGCTCCGTTAAATGGAAAACCGAATAAACGTTATACTTAGAATGCATTTTATCGTATTATTACACGCGTAGCGTTCATTTAACACTAGAATGACTGGTTTTGGTTTTCTTGTTTCGTAATTATTGATATCTCAAAAACAGTGAATATTCCAAATTATTTCGAAAATAAATTATTTCATTTCAGTACTATAATCAATGCCTGGAGAAACTGAAAGTAATTTATTGTTACAATATTTATAGGGATTACATATCAATAATAATAACCTGTGTTATTATTCTTTGGTCAAAAGAGTTTCTATTGTTTCGTAGTATTGAACTCAATAATTCTGATAATTGAATTTTAAGAAATTCAAAATGTGTAGTTAACCAATTTAGCAGATGAGCGATATGGACCAGTTCAAGATACGAAAGGAACGAATCTTTCAGACGGTCAAGCTTTATCGCATCATTAGGGATGCTCAAAATTTCGAACATATAATTGATACTTCGAGTATTTGGGGAAATAATTTGTCACATGTTTGCAACGCGCCATTAACAAGCTCGTATGACAACAATAGTTGGAATTGCGAAATTATGATGCGGGACCAACCGAATCGTACTGATCCTTTGACAAAAGAAACTGTTACAAGATAAAGTTTTGTCGTATCGTAGATGTTTAAAGTATTAGGAATTTAAAGACGCAACATTCCCCGCGGTCATTTTCCTGGAATATGATTTTCACTAACCACACTGCATTTCAAACTGTTTATTTAATACCCCGAATTAAGCATTTCAATTTTATTCACGGTAAACGGATGAATTCACTAGCCATCGACCCGATATGCTCCGCAATTCAACTGTCGAATTACCTCGAGCGGTACGATTTCAAATTACTGCCGACAGCAGGTTGATCATTTTGGCGCGAAATACAAAATGATGTCAGAAATACGTGACGCGTGATATCGAGCTTGTTAATATCGAACGCATCGCTGCCAGGTGTTCGACATGGACGCTTATTTACTTCAATTATAGCGGATTTATGATGTCTAATTAGTCGAATCGATCGGTTCGTCTATTTCCGCGCGGCTCGCAGGACACAGCGAGAAGGAATCCGTTTCCGTAGCGACGAAACGTGTCCTCTTTGGCTACTCTCCTGAAAATCGCCTTCTTCGATGATCGTGTGGTTTTTGGCAGGGTCGACGTTTCGTCTTCGAACTCGCAATCGAGTTACGTTTTTATTTTTCGGTTTCCCACCGACGGTTCCTTTCCTCGTTTGTTATTGTTTCAGCGGCTCTCGCCGTTTCGAGTAGCGTTACGAATCGGCACGCGTGCTGTTTACCCGAAGAATTAGTTCGAATAAAATCGCGTTTCTATTTTCACGGGCCGCGTGACCTAACCCAGACCTAACGCCGGCCCGGCAATAACCGGTGCTATTTTCGAAACCCCGTTGCAAGGAAAAATGTGGATTTCGTTTCGATCGGTCGTGTTAATCCTTAACAGAGCAATGCCGTCATATAAACGGCATGGCACTTTTACTTACTGGGTCCAATGCCGCGTACATGGCAGCAAAAATCATTATATTATTTTTATCATTGTTATTGCTGAAATATTTACAATCAACACGTCAGTGTTTAGTATTGTGCTAGATCACTTTTGTGAATTTGTTGCCGTTTGTCGTATATGTTACGCTATTTTTTCGCGATAAGTAAACTTGAAATACTTTCGGTCCGTTAAGGGTTGAAGTCGCCGTACGCGTTGAAACACGCGAGGGACACCTCGCATTGTTACAAGCGATGGGTTTCAGCTTTCCTCGCGTTGTCTTCGAGTGCTACGTGTATCATGAAACTTTGCAACACTTGAATCTATCGCTTGTAATGATGCTTGCATCGCCGCAAGTTTCAACGTGCATAGGAGCCTTTCACTCCGGCGCGAGACTTATCTCGCTGTTTACCGTTTGGGACGGGCGTGTCGTCTGAAACCCACGTGGACGATGCCACGTGTCTGTTAATACTGTCTTTTATGCAGCACGTGAGTTCAGAGTTACAATCACGTGCTCCGCAATGCATTTTTGGGAATTCCCACTTTTCTCTGGGGATTTATTGAGGAAAAATGGTACTTTGTAGCTTTAAATAGATAATAAGGAAGTATTGGATTTGTTGGAAAGCCTTGATTGTTGATTAGATTGGTGATTGGGCGTGATTAAGCTGTGCCTTGCTCAGTTGATTCGACAACTTTTTCTGTTTCTCTTCTTACGTTTGTTCGAAGTGTATTCATAAACATTGTTAGGCAGTATGTTGTGATGCAAGGAGCGCAATCCTCATTGCTAAGGATCTCAAAACTGATGTGAGATAGGACTTTTGTGTTCTAATAGTTGTAATAGATCAAGAATAATGTAAATTTATTCCCTTTCCAAAATACGTATAAACTGTAAATGCATGGAAATCCTCGGTCTAGGCATTACGAAATACAGAGATTACGCGCGCTTGGATCTGTCATACGATTCATTTATGTATAAATAGTATCGTTTCATTCTCTCTTTTCAAGGGAAGAGGCTGCCGCCTGCTCGCAACAGTGTTGTGTAAATTATTCTTTCAAATGGTAACTACTAAACAGCCATCACTGTTCCAAACCGTTCGTATGATTTTGCTTTCGAAAAGTTCGTTTTTCTTCTGGCAAATTGCTAGGCATTCGCCGACGAATGCCGTAATAATGGCGATTTCGAGCTCCGATACCTACCAAATAGATAGCTGCAACTGAATAATTTAATCATTCAAATAACGTGGACTGAAATACAGTCCATCGCGTTATAATATTTAAACCTTTGGACTCGACAGGTGACTCTTGCTCACAGTTTGATTCGACAAACGAAATTATAAGATTTTACATATAATATTCAATTTTGCATAATGCATCAATATGGAATATTGGAATAAAACAGCTTTCTTATTAACCGATGTCACATTACTTAGTTTCAAAGTATGTCGTCATCGGAAAATGTTGAATATATCCAGAGGGAAAACTTTCAGGTGCAAGGGGTTAATATTTCGATGGATAATTCAATTTTCCATGGAAAACCTTTTTTAGCAGCTCAAAAAAGTTTCGTTCACGAAGGGTTAATAAAACTTCGCGTCTTCGATTCGA